CCCAGCCTAATCGAACGGGGCTCAGTCCATAACATAGGCGTCTGCTTGAGATGGGTTGCCACACAGAATTTCCAAGATCTTGCCCTGAAGGGCCAATAAGTCCTGATGAAAGAGTTTCCGAAGCCTCTCGTCAGTGACTGGTTCCAGCAGCTTGCAGAATCCGGTGAAAAAGCGCCCCGCTTGTGTAGAGCGCGTCTGAAATGTCCTGCCCTGTGTGGCTCCTGGATAGATCTATAGGTATTGTAATAACGAGGTTATGAGAAGTCTAAGAATTGTCACAATGGGTGTAACAGTCAACTTGGGTGGATGTAGGATAGCACTTTAAGTCTAACGTGAAGAAGACAGATATATATTGTAGATCTGTTATATTGATGACTATTGAATATAAGAGTGGAAAAGGTTGATCATATACAGAGGTCTAGCACCTAGTTTTTATACACAAAGACAATACATACAATATACCATCAATAGCAATAACTGCCAACCATTCAGCCATTCAACATCTATGTGTAAAGGGTTTAAAGAATTCAGAAGTACTTGAAAGACGTTAACTCCATAGGAATTGATAATTTTTCCTTGGGAAGCTAATCTGCCTACGACGGCTCCTGTCCTTTATGTCCTCCTCAGCGTCGCGTTTAAGCTCCCCCCCTAGCCTACCTGAGAATACTCCATTCTCCCCGGCTACCCTCTTTCCTGTGACATCCTCCCCCCCTTAGTACGTACTCCCTTGGGTCCTTCCTCATGCGCAACCTTGCAATTATCCTTATGCAACACTGAGACTCGTTCTTGTGCGCAACCTTGCATTAATCCTTATGCGACACTTAGATCCCTCTTTATACGTATCCTTGCATTTTCCCCATGCAACCTTTCGCGTCTCTGTAAGCGCTGCTTTGTTGGCGCTTAAAGATCTAGCCGGGTTGGTCCTAGTGACCAGTCCCAATCCGGGCACAGCCCGTAACACTATGTCATTAGATATACCTGCGTCACATTATTATATAATCATGTATGGTTGAGATACTGGTGTTGTCATTGCTGTGTGCCGATGACGTATCATTGACGCAGGGTCGCTTGTCCTGTCGGTTCACTTGCCCAATACTAGCCATTCCAAGTTGTGTGATCTATAAGTGGGTCTGATCACAACAACAGGGCACGAGTTAGCCGGATGTAGGAAACACGGCACACACGTAATCGTAATTATCCTATGACCTAAAGCACCGGAAATCGCACGGTCAGAGCCCGCGACCATAGCAATAGATCTACTAGTGTCAGGAGTAAGGAGGAATCAATGTATATAGACACATAGACATCCTACACTTAAAGGATGTAGAATTCACGGATTAGTCACAAGATCTACACAAGATCCATTGTAGTTAGGAGCCACGAGACACCACGTGATACCCCTTCATTCTTACGCCCACCACACCCTTTACTAAGTACACAACGCGCGCTCGGAAACCTCAGCTGTTCGGCGAGGAGTTCTGTCGCGACAATTTGAGGCGACAGAATTGAGTTGTTGGGTGAGTTTTGGTGACTCGCCTCGTAGATCGGCTCTACGAAATGTAGTGTGAGTGAGGGACCATTTCGACGTCTTGACGCGTCGAACCGTTTTTTTTTGCATCAGATTTGAATTGCGTATCCGTCGAACATTGAGTGGGGTGAGAGGGCTAGGGGCCAGCCTCTGCGGAGGACTGGGGTGGCATGAGTGATTGAGAAATAAGTGTGACAGTAAAATATCGTAGGTGGAATGCGATGATGGGCGCGTATGCGCTGCATACTGGTTACATGATTGGTCTACAAGTGAAAAAGCTAGGGGATTAGGGACGAGCTTTCTCTAATCTTTCACAAAATAATTATCATAAAAACTTCTCTTCTGCATATTAATGAAGATATCTCTCCACAAGCTATCTTAGCTGTTCCAGCGGAAATGTATAATATTAAATCATATACCAATCATAATAATGTTCCCCACTTTAGACTATTACAGGTAGTGTTTGTTTGTGTTTATTGTAATTCTTGAGTCTATGACTATCTAGCACATTGGGCTCCCCTCTGACCCAGGCCACACCTTGTACAGTGCCCCTACCCTCTTTTGTTACTTGAAAGATCATTTTTTTATGACACGCAGAATATGGCAAGCAAGAGCTCAAGGTTTAAGAGGTAATAAAGCTAAAGAGCAGAGCTATGTCTACAAATTACATATATCCAAGTGTGTGAGCATATTCTTCTGCTAAAAGACATCCCAAATCATGCATCAATTGTATACACAGATGGTTCCCTAACAAAAAGCAATGGAAGTAGCCTTGGATTTGTGGTATACTTGCCATTCACAAGACAGGTGAAATGTTTCTCTTACAATCTCGGACATACAATGACAATCTCAGATACCGAGACATATTGTATCTTGAAAGCTTTAAAATATGTCATCTCCAATAAACATTCCAGAGAGATCTGGGTCTTTTCTGATAGTCAAGCAGTAATTCAGAGGGTCAGCAAAGCTAGCAACCAGTGTCATAGCTAGATAGGCTGCATACACTTAATGATTTAAGTGTAAAAAAAAAAAAAGCTAGCAACTTTATTTCACATCAAATAAGGATAAAAAGCCATAAATATCAAATACATCTACACTGGTGTCCAGACCATGAAGATATTGCTGGGAATGAGCTAGCAGACGATCTGGCAAGAGATGGAGCCAAGAAAAAAGTCAAAAAAAGAGATAAATTCACAACAATTGCTTACCTTAAGCAGAAGGCAAAGGAAATGACTCTCAAAGCCTGGCAAAATGACTGGGAGACCCAAGTCTTGAGACAGGAAGAGGGTAGAGGGGCTAAAGGACTGGGAAGGCTTTATCAAGTGCAAGCCAGGAAAAGATCACCTATAATAAAAATGAGGCCATACAACTTCAGTCATTAAAACAGAATGACACAATCTTCATTTATACAAGCGAGAACAGGGATTGGAAATACCATGGCCCATTTATTTCGAATAAAAAAAGTGAAGGATAACTCTTGCAACTTTTGTTGGAAGGGAAAACAGACTGTTCAACACCTACTTCTTTATTGTAGTAAGTTTAAGACTGAAAGAAAGGAAGCAACTCTCCACTTCCTTCATAGCAGTGGATGCATGAATGCATCCAAAGCTGACTGAAAGGGAGGAGACTGGAAGATAAGTAGAGGAAATGGGGGTTAAATATTTGTATTTAGATATAAAATAATCAGATGTGTCATAGCTAGATAGCTGAATACACTATGAATTAAAAAAAAAGTGTATGAATTTGTCTAGGGGTTACATTTCACCTACTCATGTAAACTAAGCTAGACAGGTCACATGACCTTCATTGCAGTACATAGATTTCATCTGTAGCTACAGGGTTCACTAAGTCAACATTTACAACGTAATACCGTGTCCCACATATCTTTATTAAGAGAATTTAAGCGAGTAGTAATTAATAAGTCACCGGTGCTTCCATAACGCCAGACCATCGTAGGTATCCTAATTCAACGCTTTGTTTGTATACCATATCCATAGCCACTTTACACATTGATATATTCCCCTTGATGAAGAGCCATTCAGCTCAGTATTTACCCGTGGCATTCAGCCACCTTTTCCACGGAACCTTGCACCCCAAAAAAAGAAAATGGTACAAAGGAAACTGTGTGCGCGGGAAAAAGTCTCCAAAAACCTGTAGCCCCAGCCAGGCGAGGCCTAGACACCGGGACCACATGAGGTGCGCATATTCATCTATATCTCCCTTCTTTGTAACAGTCGAGGTCGACTTGATCCAATCCGCCATCTCCGTATCGGGTGCTGGGTACGCTCCGGAAACTCATCGGATGGCATCTACTCCATGATAATGGTGATGGGGGAATGTGTTGAGAGATGAAGACGATACAGACCGCGAAATCGATTAGGAATCCTCATCGAAGTGAGGACTTTGTTACTCAATCTCGACTCTGCATACTATACAGTGAGAGCTGGAGGTTCGTAGGGGACACCACTGACAGGTGTTGAGAACAGTCCCCCTATTACAGGTAGTGATCATAGTGATGGGACACGGTTCGTCACGGTTTCGAAATGCTTTAGTAACTCCAGGGTTCCAACTTGGAACTTCCAAATGAATAGACTTTCAAGACTATTGTTAAGGGACGAGAATCACGGACGCTGCCACAGAATAATCTATATTTTTCTATATGAGAGAAGAATACCAGTGGCACTATACCAACATGAACCGTGTCTAGGAGCCGCTTATATAAGCTCTTACTTAGTGTCGTGCATCGTGCAACAGGCAGACATGTTTGTCGAATTCCAACTACATGCAAGGCTGGGCCCGTAGGTCAGCCCGGCCACTGCTACTGGGTAAAACCCGTAACAGTTATACAGGATGAAGTCTTGGGCTAGTAAATTTAATGTGATATCAGCGAATGCAACCAGTGGCATAATTCCTCAAACTCAACCTTAATCATTTCCTACCTATAACTATCGAGTTAAGGTCTCCATTGCAAGATAACTCTACCCATGGGCGATGCGTCGGATCCGGTACTACAATATGAACAAACAGTTAGATATACCTGATATTTTTACGTTTCACTCTTGTACATGATTCTTTTGTTTTCTTCACTTTGGTTTTAAATTCAATTATATGAATTAGTTGTAACTTGAGCCTGAGACAGCCAGAAGGAAGAAATTATCGATGCAGGTGTGTCACTTCTAGAAATGAAAAATGAGATCCAGGGAAGTGCAATCGACCAATCTTCGCAAAGAGATTGATTTCCTCTACACGTTTGTTACATTAACTAAATCGTGTCTAGCTTAACAGTGAGATTATATTGGCCTTGTTTACCTCATTACGCTCCATTTTTAACTTAAATATCTCGAAGCACGCTTCACTGAGGGTAGCATAAGCCTAGTATCGCAATGTTTATTAATACGTCACCCAAAAATATCTGCATCGAATAGATTTTATGAAATAATTCTTGTGACATGCTTTTTGTCACGTTAGAGTTCTACTCAGGTTCCCAGACATTATCGTAAGCGATGTCATAATCCATATTTGTATTTGAGTTCTGTGGCTGGTCTTGCTTGAAAGACACGCTACCGGTATTGACGTTACTAGGAACTGCTTCTGGCAGTGGTGCAGTACCCTCCTGCACATTATTTTCGTTATCTATACCATTGCTTGGTCTGATAGATTTATTGGGAAGATTAGTTTGTGGAGGTTGAGTTGAAACCCACGTCATTTCGACTTTACCAATTGACGGTATCTCACCACCTACAGAGCTGAACATAAATTTCTCTGCCGTACGGCGATCTTTAAACATGATAGTAGTTCGTTCAGGAGTAACCTCAATATTTTCGTATTCACCAATGCCCTATAAGTATGGTAAGTGGTAAGTTGTGTTGTAGAATTAGAATAAACATACAAGGAGATGTTGCCTCAAGTTTTCATCTTTTTCAGAATCGGAAAAATCAATACCGGTTATGCTAACCATTTTAGGTCTATTATCAAGGTTAAATGAGCGATAACCAGATGCAAGGGATGTGGCAGAAGCGGCTGCAGAGATACTCCCGCCTCGATAACTTCCTCGATATCCACGCGTACTGTATCCTCTCGCACGCCCGCTACCTCGACCTCTAGGGGCCCAATTACTATTGTTAGATAATGTCGTGTCAATGCCTAGCGATAGGGCTTCAGCCTCTAAAACAGCTAGTTGAGCCTTTAAGATCTCTGTCTTAGATAGTTCTTTGTGTGAGTTCGTGGATGTGTTCACATTGGAGTCTACCGCCAAGTCACAGCTCTTACCCCGTGCAGCTATTTTTTCAATTAGCTTCCGCTTCTCCTCTGCTTGTGACTTTAACAAGTTTTCTTGACGCTTCTCAAGTTCCTTTTTAGCATCATCTACTTCCTGTTTCTTTTTTTGCTTTTTTAAATGAGCTTCCTGGACCTCCTGTTGTTTGCGTGAAAACTCTTCTAAATCAATTTTTGGTTCCAAAGAGTCTTTCGAAGGGATTGGCACAATAGCAGTAGATGAACTACTCTGGGGACCTAGCCCTGCGTTCGGGATAGAGGGAGGTTTAGGCAACGATTCTTGATCAATGTACCAATAGACTTTAACAAAACGGTTGTTAAATATTACTTTCGGTGACTTGTATGCTGCTTGAGCACCGTCCCAATTCTCATACTTGACAATAGCTAGGCGTCTATAAGATTGTATTTTGATATCCAAAATATTGCCAAACTCTGAGAAAAATTTACGAACTTCTCCCTCCGCAAAATATTCTTCAGGAATATTTTCAATCACAATCGTAGTCTTAGTCTTATCATGATGGGGTCGGTCGGAAGAAAATTCAGATCTTCCTCCCCGCCTGTTCGAACTATTTGGATTGTGGCTCTCATGCTTGCGATGGCCACCCTTTTCCCGTGAAAAAACCTCAGACTTAGGGGCTTCATTTATCCTATGATCATGTGTGTTACTTACTACCTTACTTTTGCTATGATCAAGAATCGTAATAATACTATTTGTTGGATCGTACTCATCAGGGGGAGAATGGCGTTGTGGTGGGATCCAAACAGACTTTTCACCATGTACAGACATGCACATATTTCCCTTTGAACAAAAACCTTTCAAATCATAGTCTCCGCATCTTTGCTTATTTGGAAGCAGTTGGGCTCCTCTACTGTTCGATAATACCGATAGGTTGCTGGGAGGTATACCTGGATTAGGGGATCGAAAATCTGGGGTTACCCTCGAAGTATGTTTTGATCCGAATAATGGCACATTAGAATTTGCTAAAACTTCCTGAACCCTGGAGCGTTGTGGGGAAACAACCTGTGAGTCAAATAGTGATGCTCTAACCCCTGGATAAGCCTCCCTACCTGTATCAAGTCCGATACGTCCTCCTGAGGGTCCATAGCGTCTAGGTTGCTTATTTGACTCGTTCGGGTTTCCAGTGTGTAGAAGACTCCTGTCACGCGATGAAAACTCGCTCCTGTCAATGTAAGGGCGCTTTCTTGAGTATCCACCATTTGGGGGGCTTCCAGTTGATATTGTATTACCAAAATTCCTGTATGATGCGGCCGATGGGCCAGTTGGAGGATCAAAGGGACGAGTGGAATTAATAGCTTGATTTGCGCCTGGATGATATGTTTTGAAATGTATGGCATTGAATACGTCTTGAACAAATAATGCTGAGTCTTCTTTCAGAAAGTCTGGGATTTCTGCTTCGCAAAGGGCGCGAACACTTTCTTTGTCGCCGTCATGGCGGAGAAGAGCCAGGACGTAATCTGCAAGCACATCTGCATCGGCGTCCGAACTAGTGCTCAATTATCAGAAGATAGAGGTTGTACTTCGTGGTCCGACTTACGTATTTTCGAGCCGTTTTACAATCCATTTTTTTAACAAAGGTGCGTCTGCCTCATCAAACAGCATCTTGAGATTGGCGATCTTCTTGTAATAGATGTCTACTTTGTATAGCAGTGCTATGGGACTTATAGCCTTAATTTCGTGCCGGTGCGCTCAATGGCGTTCTCAAGACTCTGCCTTTCACTAACAAGTTGGACATATTAGCTAGGTTCTAATAATGACTGTTGTCGTGGAGCATGTTGTCACGCCGCTGTTCAAACCTTAGCGGCCTGTCTAGGGTCTTGATGTGTAGCCTCAGGCAATAGATGACTGGCCTATTAACTGTAAGACCTCTCTTGGGTAAGATGTCGCCATTGCAATCTACATGGTATCCTATTCCTACGTGTAGGTGAAGGTCGAACACTTAGCTAAGGCGTCCATTACGAATCAGAATACGAAATATTTTCCAATAGCCCAAGATCAGTTATTGAAAAGATAAAATCGAGAGCTTTTGTAGCGACAGCGATCATGGGAGGTGTTGCATCGTTTTTGCTCGCGAACCCGAATGATGAGATATCATGACAGTAAAAATTATCGACATCACAACTTCGAATTTAAATGAAGAAGGGCAAAGACTGGACACGATCACTAAGAAGCTAGAAGTGAAATATTCTTTCAGAGCTAAGTTCATTCAAGTTTCGTAGTTAAAAAGTTAGCCCACAATACTATCATTCAAAACTATCGACCAAATCAACATCTCACCCTAATTGTGATCGATTCCCACCTAGTAATCAAAAAGTCTTCGCATATGGACTAATATATCGTTTTTTCGATGAATAAAATTCTTATCATATCAGTCTCTGGCCTCAATTAGCCTCCAAACACAAGATCAGGAGAATATGATAGGCTGATGGGGGAAACAAATCATGGTTCACAAATCTGGAAGACAATTTTCTCGGAGTGTCATGGGAAAAATTAGGGCTAGTAAATAATTTGATGCAAAAAATTGACCCATCTCTAAAGCGTTAATTTCTTCGGATTTTGCAGAGAGATTTACAAACTAAAGAACTTTGCACACGCCAAGCCCTCCAATGCGACAATAAAGGCGACACTTTAAACACCATCGTGTTTGGATGGTGCGGTGGTACATGATCCTGGCCGGTCTGTCAAGTAGATTCTGGATAGCTTGGACATATATCCCACTTGAGGCAGTGGATCGCTTGTTCAAATCCGGCAGAACTAGATCATATTTCTTGTGTTAATGGTGCACATGGATAACTAAAACACATTTCGATAACCAAATATTTTGAGACGTTGCTTTAGTGGGTGCTCACAGAGGAGAGTTGACTAAGTTTGTAAGCAAACATACCTCATAAGGTATTTGCGAATGAAATCTAGAGTATGAGTGTCTCTAATGTCAAATGAGTCAACCAAATTATATACATGGTACCTGTGGCGTGTCATAGCTAAATATCTGAATTAACAATAAATGATTTAAAGAAATGAGTCGAGATAGTTGGTTCTCAGCAGCCATATCCGACTTTTGAAAGATTTAGAAGGCGGAATTGAGCACCAATTCCAGAGATAGGAATTCTCTACCTTCTGGCAGTACCTTTGTAATCGCTCGGTAAACTGCATATCCGGCATAGCCAAGAAGGGTCGCACTCGAATCGAAATCTAAAACAAACTGTAGCATATCTACGACGACTTCACTCCAATACTAGACCTATCATACTCACACGATTTTTTCAAATCTATCATGGTGGAAATGAACTTGCATTGGCGCTGAATAAATAGTTGCACCAGTTATTAAAGGGAATTTACCTAACCAAAAAAAGCCATCTCCCAGTAAATAGTTATGATCCTATTTATGTTCGTAGAAGAATCTAGTTCATGTTATAGAAAGAGCGGGTCTTAGTTTCTAGGGGGTCCATCGCACTGTTGTTAAGGTAAGAGCTTACGGAAGATTTTATGGCTGAAGGTTTGGGGATGATTACAGTTAATTCAATGTGACTTGCTGATAATTTTGATAGTTAGAATTGTATCTGGGTTGTGTAAAATGCCTATCATATACACATCTGCGGTTACTTGACTCTAGTCCAATTTCTCCGAAACCGACATCACAGAATGTCCTATTATCCTCCACCTTCTAGTATAATCTAGAAAGACTATTCATGTAGCGCTCCGTTGTTCCTCAAATAATTATGGAATCATCTGGAAAGATATTTCTTCAATCCTCCTGATCAATAAGAATGTTTAGTAATTCTGGCTGTAGCCAGCATAATATGCACTAATGGGGTTGTTACGACATGCTTTGGGTTAGATTAAGATCGATGTCTGCCGAAGGCATTTTAATAATAACTAGAATATTAAGTGCGAGAGGATAGTACTTAAGGTTGTGTATAGAAGACTGAACTGGCGAGTTAGTCGAAGGTCAAGACGAGAGGGCCAGAAACGGAATGAATACTAATACGAGAAGTATGAAAATTTTGAAATTGAATTCGTTATCCTGGTGTGGCACCCTTTGGGCCCATGCAGGTGTCTACGAAATGTAATATTTACACGTTAGGAACCTTCATGGTGAAAATCCCGCAGACCTTTCTGCTTGTTGACTTTAGTTTTCATATTTGTTCTTTAGGAAGCGCAGTTACACCGTATTGCCATCCATGTAAACCAATCACATTATCTCTAACCGGCCCAAGCATTACTTGACCAGCTCCTTTCCCTGAGCAGCGTCTGTCCGCCTTTGTCATCTTGAATTGCTTAGTCCAACCATTGTCAGGGATCCACTGCGTTATCCTTTTGATGTCGCCAGGATTGTCTATTATTGCTTCGTCGGACCAATCTTTGGCTTTTCTCCAGATCTCCGCTCTAGCATTTTACCATCGGGGGCAGGACATGATCATAGGCTTGGGGTTCTGTGAGTGGTAGCCACATGGACAGCCTGGACTTAATACTTCGGGTACTTTTCCGTGTAAATACGAATTGAGCTCCAAGTGCTCACTGCGAAATTGCATTGCCAAACTACTTTGGGCCCTAGTCAGGTTATAATGTAGAAAAAGTGGCGAGACTTGAAGACTCATTTTTTGCTGTCCACATTTGCTAATTTGGTGGAGGACTATTCTCAACACCTGTCAGTGGTGTCCCCTACGAACCTCCAGCTCTCACTGAAGAGTCTGCAGATCCGAGATTGAGTAACAAAGTCCTCACTTCGAAGAGGATTCCCAATCGCTTTCGCGGTCTGTATCGTCTTCATCTCTCAACACATTCCCCTATCACCATTATCATGAAGCTAACCACGATCAGATCAGATGGTAGGGTCGGAGCTCTACTCATCACCAAACCTTGATCACGGAGGAAAAGCCACCCGATGAGTTTCCGGAGCGTACCCAGCACCCGATACGGAGATGGCGGATTGGATCAAGTCGGCCTCGACTGTTACAAAGAAGGGAGATATAGATGAATATGTGCACCTCATGTGGTTCCGGTGTCTAGGCCTCGCCTGGCTGGGGCTGCAGGTTTTTTGAGACTTTTTCCCGCGCACGCAGTTTCCATTGCTACCATTTTTATTTTTTTTGGGTAGAAGGTTCCGTGGAAAAGGTGGCTGAATTCCACGGGTAAACACTGAGCTGAATGGCTATTCATCAAGGGAAATACATCAGTGATCTTTCAAGTAATAAAGAGGCAAGGATCAATGTACAAGGTTTGGCCGGGGTCAGGAAGGAGCCCAATGTGCAAGATAGTCATAGACTCAAGTAGCACAATAAACACACACACAGCAGTTGCCGGCACTCATCCACTGCTCTCAGCGGGGATCAGATAAACTAGTCATTGCCAAAATACATGACACGAAAGGGAACGACGCGAGAAGTGTCGTTTCTCTGAGGAAATTCGTATTTTTTTGTACTTGGACTTAGGGTTGAAGGATGGAGTCTCGATTTCGGAGTTAGAGTCGGAGTAGGTGGTGTCTTCTGAGTTATAATTTAACTTCTACTTTTTCTGTAGCGGGTCTCGCGGTTGGAATGAGTTGGGCCTGTAAGCAGTGATCCCCGCCGACTCCACCAGTCCTGTACTGATAGTGGACCTAGAGCTTTAGCTTAGGACTATAACATAAAAAAATAACAGTAGTTGCCGAGGCATCCAAATTCGCTTCGAGTTAGCCCGGAATTTTGCCCACTTTTGGCATTCCCCACACATTTTCGTCGAGTTGGCAAGATGTGTCCAGCGGTTAATTATTTGAATTTCTTTTCTTCATTTTTTGTGCAGTTTGATTTTACTATAGGCAGACTGGATTATCTTCTGGACAGGTAGGCTCTTTGTGCGGCCTTATTAGTGGAGCATTTGTTGCTTCAAGAAGATTTCAATATGTAGGGTAGCCTCTTCGTGTTCCAGCACTCTCGTACTGGTGGACTTGTATGCTCCTGTGGAAACTTTTTGGCAATTCCTTTGTACACTTCTGAGAGGTCTAACTATCCTCTCCTGGTATTTTTCCAACCGGCCCGACCTCGGCCCATATAGGTGACTCGCATTTTAGTGCCGATCTCATAACCGTGATGTATATTTTCTTTGAATTCTGGAATGTTGCTCCCCACATTAAGACCGTAACTATTGTTATACCATATGGATATTCTACAAAATCGTGGGGACCACCAACGAGGTTCAAATAAAGTCTTAATTATGATATCATAATATCTGTTAAACTACTACATGATGTAATGAGAATTCTTTGTAATGTTGCTCTAAGCTCAATGTGTAACAGTGAAGTTGGAACTACCAACTATTAATTGGGAAGCGGTATGCGTTAGGTGGAGATTAGACAAATCTCAACAATTCTAGTTGGGAATGCTGTTATGCTCAGCTATGTAGTATGGTAGATCTAGTAGCTGGTGCATAGGTAGTTATTATGGCATTATGGCATTATGGCGCATGGAGGGGATCCAGTCTCTACATAACGACACTACATGTAGTAATGTGTGCAGTACGAGAGATGGGTTGTTGATGTAAGACAAATGGTATGCCGGCTCAGTTGGTTGCACACTTTGGTGAGCTGCATACTGGTAACGTGATCGGTCTACAAGCGAACAAGCTAGGGGATAAGGGCCGAACTTCCCCCAATCTGTAACATAACAATAATCATAGTCACTTCACTAGATATGGATAGAAAATCTCCCGACATAGACTTTCTAGGAGCAGAAGTGTACGACGCAGAACTTGTGGGCGCTCGAAAGCCCTTGAAATAGCTGTGGCTCTAGCAGGAGGTTGCCCTATTAAGATGCTCCTCGATAACTCTGAAGCTGTCCGCTCCCTCAAAACAGGACGAAGTAAGTCGTCCCGAGCTACAGTCGACAAAGTTACAACTCTCCTACAATCAAACGAGTTAGTAGAGATCCGATGGATCCCAGGCCATTCTGGCATTATCGGGAACATCCATGCGGATAAAATGGCTAAATCAGCTTTGAAAGATTTTCCATTGGCCTCAAATGCAACGTTCACTTCAAGAACAAATCAAGGACAAGTATACACTTTCGCAGCTCTAAATCGATATCTTAGAGACCGTGCTGATGAGACTGTCGGTTCTTGGTGGAAAGCGAACAGACCCAGTCCATACAAAGACCTGGATTTGTTGATGAAGCGAAAACGACCACCAGAGCTCGCTCTTCCAAAATGGGCGTATCATCGTCTGATAGCGGCTAGGACTGGTCATGGCAATTTTGCCAAGTATCACAAGAGGTTTCACCACGAAGGAATAGAACTTATGTGCAAATGTGGCCGAGGGAGACGCCCGTGGCATTTCTCTGAATGCTGGACAGCGCTAAATGAATGGCGGAGAACAACAAAGGAAACAGCACCAAGTATACGGACAATGTTGGGAGAAAAGGGATGGATAGCTTTTTAGAGATTCCTTACCGTAACAGGATGCTACGGGGTGCAAAGTAGGACTTGAATGACCGAGGTTTTCTGGGAAACATATAGTACAGGAAACTGCTATGAGATAGCTGGCTAGGCGCAGGGCGTTAAGTCAGGGCAGCAAAAGTTTTTGGTGAAATTTTTGTCTTTATCAGATCATGTAAATTTCTGGCCACATAAAGCCAGCATCATTGGTGTTTGTGGGTCATCCCGGGAACACGTACCAGTGTCAAGCCTCCTGGGCGTAGGGCTTTAGCCTGATACGTTAAATTATTCAATTCAATAGTCACTTCACTTCTGCACACTGATGAAGATATCTCTCCACATACTATCTTAGCTGTTCCAGCGCAAGTGTACATTCCAAAATCATATACCAATCATAATAAATGCGCATAGTTAGTTGGAAGGATATGATAGAAATTAGGTCTAAATTTTATGCGTATAGACCTGCTCATACAGGAGAAAATAGAAATCGTCCGAATTTTACAGTAGCCTTTTCCTTGTTGGTGGGTGGATGAAAGACTTCATACTTGTTTCCTTTTCTTTCCTTCGGCCCAAAAGGGCTGGGTCATGTGGGTTAATGTGAGCCCTTGGGACATACATAGCTTTATCACACACCTTGACTGTAGCGCATACGCCTGATACGAATAGCGTTCAAAGCAAATCAACCATGGAAGTTTAATTCTACGGTAATTTGTAGTCCATCTACTTGACTTGTCAAATAATTACAAATTATGTGAATATATTTTACATGACCTAATCGACTGTAAGATCATAATTCCGTACTGCCTCCACTTTCGTTCATATTTTAGAAAGTTAACTCCCGTTTAGATTTCCATTTTCTATAGAGCTTCCAATCATAATTTCTTGAATAAAGTTAAATCTCTACTGGTAAAATGGAGAAATGATGAATGAGTTTATTTTCTAGCAAGGTCTTTATTAAGTTGGGTATGAATCCTTCGAAAATAAGTCAAAACTGGATTATTATTTATTCTTTGTTTTCCGTTTTTGATTCATCATTTGCATGCAGAGTTCTAGGTTTAGAAAGAGAAGATTCGGATGCATGATCCACACTTGAAGTCGATGGATTTAATTTCAAAAAACTGGTCATTAAAGTTGCCCACTCCCAGGGTTTCTGCGTGCCACCAGGAAGGGAGTTGAAATATTCCCATCCCATGACCCCACCGAATTTTGGATATCGAAGCTGTAGGGCTAAGAGGAGGTTTTGTAGTTTCCATGAAGAGATCCATCCACTGCCGTTAGCAGGATTCGTCACCATGCCGACAACAATTTTATTAATGGGAAAGCCACGAGCTATGATTGCATCGTACCCAGCAGTTGATGATAAGTCACCCCAACCGCAATAGAACTGTGTATTATACCATGCAATCTCTGAGCTCCTCATCACCTCTAGTGCTTCATAGCAGAAGCCACTAAGATTATGTTTCGGATTCCCAGATATCAAAGCAGCCGCGACAGGTGCGAGAGTAATCAAAAATTGCTTCCCAAAATCTGTTCTGAGTCTATCGATTAGCCGAATTATACCATTAAGCGTCATGTTCTCTTCAACATCCAGGTCAAGACCGTCAAGGGCTCTTTCCCGAATCATGTCTCTAAGTGGAACGTAGTACAGTTCAAAGGTTTCTTCGTCAAGGTCAAGTCGAGAAAAAGAACCTTTTGCTGCGCCTCCCAGCATGCCAAGCACCTTGACACCGCTAGCTTGTAGTGCACGAAGTTCAGCCCATAGTGTAAAATATCTCGGATGAGAGGGATCGTGGTCGTTCTAACCCTCAATTAGCTAGGTTTGGCCAATAGTCATAAAATCTTGCTGACTAATGTGATATTTCCTGGTGGGTCATTGAGATGTATAGCGGCGACGTTTACATGAGTGACAAAGGTGATAGGTTTCGTAATCAGTGGAAGAATTGAACAAACGGAACCGTCGGCATGAATCTGAGTCTGGTAATAGATGACAATTCGAGGGCCCGACTCTTGAGACATAGGCACTATGACCGCAACTAACGGGATAATGATTCAGACAGGCTCGTTAGAATAGAAGAATTCTGGCGATCACTCGCACTTGATTTAATTTTCTGATTAGCTAATTTTTCGCCGATGAGCTGTCATTGTACGCTCGACCATAAGAACTACTGCGAACGGGGCCGGTCCGATAAATTATAACTACCGCTTCACAATTAATGATTATTAATTCATCTTATTGTCTCGTCTGAGTCTATGACCATGTAGGATATGCAGGTCCTCTCTGCCTACAGGCCAAGGACAACTATGCCTCCTACATAGCTCCCCTCGCAAGTCCTCATTCAATCATGCACTTAGAGGAGCCCTTAGCCCTATCGCTCCACAAGTTAACTTCGTCTCACAACAGATGATCCACTGACAGTGTTCTATACGAACCTGGGTGACAATCTTTCACGCGAGGCTAGATTCAAACAAATATCGTATTTCCGAAGTAATCATACGAAACCACTATTGAAAACTCTAAAATATCAGCTTTTCATTCTCCAAAAATGTATCCTGTCTCTATCCTTATTAAGCCTGCAAGTACGGAGGGCAAAGACTAAACACCCGTACGCTGTGTCCTCCACGAACCTGGGAATGAAACATTCTCCCAGAGCCAAGTTCAGTCAAATTTTGCAATTCTCCAGAAGTTGGTCCACAAGGCAATGATTCAAATTTTTCCTCCCAACGAGTTTGAATCCTGCCTAAGTCTCATCAAGTCTACAAGTACGACCAAGTACATCCTCATCCTAATGACCACACCACTCTTCGACCTTCTCTGGCCTCAGCTGGTCATAAAATACACGCCCACGTCGATATTTATACCCGACGGAGGAAGCAAAGCGTGGCGCACAAATCTGGGAGATAGTTCTTTGGGATAGACCTGAGAGGGATCAGGACAATTTTACAAGATGATGCAGAAGAAGGGTATAACCTCGAAGGGCGTGAAATTTTGAATTTTGGCAAGGAGTTTTACAAATTGAGCTTTGTGCGTGCCAAGGCTTTGCTTGCGAGAGTGCAGCTGACACTATAGAAAGCCTAGTGGGATTAAACAAGGAGCCCGTGAATCCTGCTTTAGGCATTTTTTCAGAATCCTTACAGTGTGTGATGAGAAGGGCTCCCACCCCAACAGCTGGTATGATCGTGGTTAGCTCCATGATAATGTTGATGGGGGAATGTGTTGAGAGATGAGGACGATACAGATGGCGAATGTGATTTAGAATCCTCATCAAAGTGAGGAATTTGTCACTCAAACTCGGCTCTGAAGACCGTAGTGAGAGCTGGAGGTTCGTAGGGGACACCACTGACAAGTGTTGTGGATAGTCCCACTGATTCGAGAATATCTCGCCATGACTACTGGAGATGTATGAATATTGGCGTTGGTAGGGTACCTATGGGAGAAGTATACGGATATTAGTCACGTGGTGTCAGTGCGGCGTTGGGGTTTACTTCCGTTCTGTACTCATGATAGAGATAGATATACGTTTTTTAGATCAATAACTTTGTTACCCATTCTTTGTGCTAGCACATAATCTTGAACCGGTGATAAACCGACACTGATCAGTGATCCATCTTATCGGTCACAGATCCGTACTCGGTATTCATACGAAGGAACGTCCCTTGGAGTCGTCGACTCTGTCTCAACTGAGCTCCGACGTGTCTAACTTAAGAAGTATTAAGTATTCGCTCTTCTTGCTTCTGCGTCCATTAACGCGCCCTGTTATTTAAGCAATAACCAGGAGAAATTCCCTAGTCTTGCTTCGCGTCCATCACGCAAACCAAATAGACCATGTCTCTCAAACCTACTCCTACTACGCCGCCAAAATTCGACTCTGACGAAGCTGTAAATAACCATGTCCAGAATAGACTGAATCTTTACAGAACGAAAGGCTCACGAGATGACCCTCTGTGGGAAAGATGTGTAGAAGACTTCGAGGACTGGGATGTGAGTCTCTTCAGCAAAGTTGAATCAGAACTCAGAAGAGAGTTTCGAGACTATCTTATTTCCCGTGGAATATATATGACACCAAATCCGAAGGGAAAACACATAGATCAACAACTTGCGACAGAAGTCAAGAGAGAAGACTTCCATGAATGGACTCCCGAAGAAATCGCTTCTATCAAAAGAAGAACCCATTAGGGGTAAGCTCACGGTGCGATCCAAAAGACCCAAGCTACAGAGAATTCGAACGTACAATCCAAGCAGCGTTGGATTATGAAAGGACAAGAGCAAACATGTGTAAAGAAATTAAAGAGGAAGATAAGGATCTATCAATTAAGCAGGAAGGTAAAGAGTCCCACAGCAATTCTCCAAGATATGGAGACGAGGGAAAAAATATGGACGCAGCGATAGTGACAAAGACAATCGTTCCTCGTCATATCCACCAAATCAGCGACCATATCCACAAAGAGATAATTATCTCCCGTGGGAAGACCGTCCGCTCCATAAAAGTAGGCAATTAGAATCCTTTGTCAAAATGTACAAAGACGAGGACAAATATAGAGACGGGACTGACAGTTTTGATTACAAGCGAAAAATATTTTTCAATAACTGCAATAATGCTTGTGTTGAGAAGAGGAATTTCAAAGACGCGCTCGCTATAATGTTTGCTGGAGATGCTAGTGAAAAATACCTAGATTTAACACTGTATATTGAAGATATGTCATTTGATGAGCGTTGCGATTTAATAAAGTCGCACTACGAGACAGTCCATTGGATAAATAGAAGGGAGACAATCTGGAACACTCTCAACCTGATTGAAGAAATGCAAAAATGTCCAGATAAGCTCCAAGCATTTAACAACCTTGAAAGAGAGTTACGTCGTGTTCAAAGAGGACTGGAAGCACATTCTGGAGACGCTTCTTTACGAACTAGGATTATCAATGCCTGCTCTGGAGTAGTCGATTTACACTTCGTATCATTCTCACCAGCAAAGACTGCTGAAGGTGTTTGCGCCGATATCCGAGCCCGATTCATGCAACTTTCTTTATCAGGTACACCAACCAGCCAATACACGCAGCACGAACTCAATGAGTGTCAGAAAAGTGAAAATTCCTATCTAGCAGAGCGTCAATACCAAACTGCTAGGGCATCTAGAAGAGGCCGAAGTGATAAGTTTTTTCATGGCAGGGATAGAGTCAGCAGTAGAATGGAAGGATCGAGTGCTTCATCGCCCTGGGTTAAACGCTGCCTGGTTTGTAAGAAGGCGAACTGTTGGTCAACAAATCACTCTGCGGAAGAACGACAGGCAGCATTTAACAAAGTCAAGAAAACCTATCCGTCAAAAGATCAAGACGCTGTTCGGCAATTCATCGTCCAATTCGAAGGGCAATCCATAGATACGGAGTTATATCAGTTCTTAACCATTGAGGACCTGCCTGATGAAAGCGAATTCAGCGATGAGCACGGGCATGACAGTGTCGACCAATATCTCATCGAGGAAATTGGAGGAGAAAATGCTGTTGCCTATCTTCAAGAACAAACTACAAGACATAAGTTTACAGCACCCAGAATGAAATATGCGGTATCTGAGGAGGAACAGGGGATTATTTTTAGGGTAGACTCTCTTAGTATTGATTCGGACTTTCACATTAACGTTCTTGAACCAATACCACCGCACCCACTAAGGCGCAGCGGAAGAGAGGGAAGATTTGCTGGTCAATATCCATCTGATGAACATTTCGTACCTTGCCTAGAACAACATTTTCCTGTATACCTTTCTCAAGATGAAGAAGCGATTCGGCTTTCGCTAGAATTACGCTCAAAGGGCCTTATTACCACCCCTGGACCACCGTTCTATGCCTCAAACAAAAAGGAGATAGATGGCTTAATTGCCAGTAAAGTTTTCCGCTTCATGCCTTGGAATAAGTCGTTACTGGGAAAACGAATATACAAATGTAGAATTGTAAAGGCAATTAAGGGCAAGAAAACGATCAAGCCTTTTAAGAAATCTCGTTTGGTCGTTCAAGCATACAATGACCGAGATAAGTCTCTAGTACTAACCCAGTCACCTACCGTACAAAGAGCAAGTCAACGCCTTATTTTTTGTTTTGCAATCTGCTTAATCTTGCAATTTGACCAAACTTTATTTCTTCGGGATATTCAGCAAGCGTATACGCAGTCAAGGACCCATCTTGTTAGGGATTTTTATTGCTGGCCTTCCCCAGAAATTATCAAAGCTATGGATCTACCGGCAGATACAATCATGCACGTTATCAAACCTCTGTACGGTATCCCGGAAGCTGGCAACCACTGGTTCGACACATGGATCAAATACCTTACAAAAGAACTGGGCTTAAAGTCATCTTGCTTTGATCCGTGTCTATTTGTGTCCCACGCTGAACCTTTCAGTATTACAGGCATGCAAGTTGACGATACGCTTTTTCTCGGAACTAAGGAATTTCTAGAGCTCGAAGACGCAAAAACTAAACAAGGCTCAGTTCCCTGCGAAGCCTATTGAGCGATTATCTGATATTAACCCACTGCAATTTAACGGTCTACTGATCTCACTCTGCGATAACTCTTTGCACATACAAACTAATGGTCAAGGTAAGAAAATCAAGTTGGTCAATGTAAAAGATCCAAACAGAACCGATATTTACAAGAGACAAAGAGCTCTTGGAGCCTGTATTTATCTAATTGTCAACCACTTGTCGCCTTTAGATTTTCAAGAGCAGCTCAGCATCAAGAGCCAGGAGACCAGGAGATCATTGAACTCAATAACGCTCTTCACGAACAACAAATCGACCCAAGTAAGGGATTAAAATACATCAACCTAGATTTGAATAAGTTAAAAGTTTACTGTTGGGTTGACGGCTCATTTGCTAACAATAAAGACCTCACCTCTCAGATAGGCTTTGTAATCACACTTGGGAACGAGGATCTTGGTGACAATAAATTCACCTTCCGAGGTAATATTATTCATTGGAGTTCAATCAAATGCAAGCGAGTGACTCGAGCTGTTCTAGCATCCGAGCTATAT